ACCCCAAATTTTGGTATCATCAGCAAATTTAAACAGCTTGCTTTTCACCCCATTGTCCAAATCACTGATAAAGAGATTGAATAGCGCAGGCCCAAGGACCGAGTCCTGGGGGACTCCACTGCCCACTTCTCCCCAGGTCGAATATGACCCGTCTGCCACCACACTCTGAGTGCGACCCTTCAGCCAATCTGCAATCCATCTGACTGTGTAGGCATCAATGCCACAGTTGCCTAGTTTTTTTATTTAGAGAAGAGAAGTTGAGAGGGGATTTGATAGCAGCCTTCACCTACCTGAAGTGGGGTTTGAAAGAGGATGGATCTAGACTGTTCTCAGTGGTGACAGATAACAGAACAAGGGGCAACGGTCCCAAGTTGCAGCAAAGGAAGTTTACATTCAATTTTAAGAAGAATTTTCTCACTAGGAGGGTAACAAACACTGGAACAGGTTGCCCAGAGAGGTGGTGGAATCTCCATCCTTGGAGAGTTTTAAGGCCCAGTTAGCCAAAGCCCTCGCTGGAATAATCAGGTTCTGCCTTCTCCTGCTTTGAGCAGGGGTTGGACTAGATGTGACTTCCTGAGGTCCCTGCCAACCCTCATTTTCTATGATTCTATGGGGCGGGGGTAAGGAGCAGTGGCTGCTCCACTCCTGCAGGTCTACAGGGGAATGGAGCACTGGGAAAAGAGTCCCCCTGCCTTCCCAAGACCAGAGGCACCTTGGTCTGGGAAATAGGCAGGGAGCCATGGGTAGGTATTCCTCCCCTCTTCCAGCCTCCAGGAGGGGAAGATCAATGGGGCGCTGCACTCCATCCGTTCCCCAGACTGGGGTGTCCCTGGTCTTGCGAAGACTCAGGGTGGGCAGTAGCAGCTCAACTCCTCTGTGATTGGGAGGACTTGAGCTGTGGGGAAATGCACCCTCTATATTTCCTAGTTTGGGGAAGGCACAGGAGAAACTGCTGCTTGACTCCTGATCATGGAGGAGTTAATCAGAATTATAGAGGTATTCATTCTTGCAAGAGAAACTCTCTTACGGGGGACTCTCACGCACAGATCTTTCTGGTGTCAGCCTGGAAGATTTTTCTCCCATGGGGCTGTGTCTCCTCAAGGAGAAAGCGAACGAACGCCTGTAGCGTGGGATTTTCTGCCAGGACAGTGTCAGTTCTCCCAGCAGAAACATAACTAGGGTCACTTACAGGCGTTATGTTTCTGCTGGGAGAAATGAGTGGGATGATCTATGGTGCCTGAACCAGGAACAGCAGAGAGTACCAGAACCTGCTGCTTTCCTTGCTGGTTTACACATTCAACTCCCCGTGTTTATTTTCATCCCGCAGAGCAGTGTGGAAGAGCCATTGTTTTACTAAACTATTTATCCATGTTATTCTTTTGTATTCCAGTTTTTCAGTTCACTATTGCAAAATATCAGCTGACCCCTAACATCAATAGAGGAAACTCGTGAGAACAGTCCTGTTGTGAAGGGATTAATCTGTTTTCTCTTTTATTTGTTAGGATTTTTATTGCACCCTTGGTCATCTAATTACATTATTTTATGTCTGCTTTGCAAGAATACAGGAGAACTATGGCGTTGCTGCAGGTCATGCTGTCAGGAACAAATTTTCTCTCATCACCACTTCCATGCAATGAAATCTGAATAGTGTGTTTTAGCATTATACCAGCTTAGCTGAATCGCTGTTTAGTGGCTATGCTTTGAATCCAAGTTACCATGTACCTTTTTTAACTACCCTTACTCATCAGAGGCTGATTCCTTTTGTTGTTGCCATTGTTAGAAATTTTCCTATTGATTTTAAGTGGGTGAAAGTTTGACCCCAGTGGAGCATATCATAAGAGCAGATAAATGCCAGACTGAATACAGACCCCTGGGAGCTCTACTACTTGACCCTTGGCTGCCCCATACCCTTTATACCATCTCCTCACAAGTGAAAATATGTCAGTCAATGCTGCATTAATATATCTTCAGTGCGAATAGGGCTTGGAAAGAGCTAAGCTGACAGGAGAAGTGAAGGTGTTTAAGTGGGAGGAACTGCTGGTAATAGGGAGGCCTGTATGGCAACTGCTGAAGCATGTTATGACGTGAGAGTAGGTCTGAGTTCTCCTTTCAGTAAGAGCTCAGTCTCAAGGAAGTATGCTAGGGTTAGGAACTGACATTGTGGTTATACCGTGATCATAAAATATAATTGGTATTACTAGATTAATGCTTTTTTCTGTATCCATGACAAAAAATCATTGATATAACTAGCCATTGTTTTCTTTTAACCGCGTTATGTAACTCTGTTATGTATTTTGGGGAAACATTTATTAATAGTTTTTCACTGGACTGTGTTAAATTTACATTCATATGCTAAATTCTAATATATGTAAAATCATGTTATTGTCTCCAGCCTTGTAAAGTATTTTGGAAGAATACACAAAAATAAATTGCATTGAGCATGGGCTGCAAACATTAATTTCTGTTTCCATTGGCCTGTGGAGATGTTTTACAACAAGCTTGATATGCACATAACGCTTTTTTGTTTTAGGATGCTTGGGTGTACACCCTTCACAATTGTGTCCTATTTCTTCATGTGGTACTTGCCTCCTTTTGTAGCAGGAAGAGTTATTTGGTACCTGATTTTCTATAGCCTTTTCCAAGCATTAAACACAGTAAGTAGCTCACAATGTGTGGTGTTCTTAACAATAACATGCTCGATTTTCTTCCTTTTTGGGTTTGAGGGTTTTTTGCCTTGATGTTGTGTATTGAGTCCAGTGAGATGAAGTGCCTAAATCACTTTTGAATATGGGAGTTACGCTCTTAAAGTGCTTAGTCTCAGATCCACAAAGGGACCCAGCTCCAGGGTTACCATTCACAAACCCAAATTAGATGCCTAAATTACATGCATAGTGAATGAGGTGGGAGGTGCATTAGGCATGTTGTAATCTCTGTATAACACTTTTCATCTCAGTGGGTCCCAAAGCACTTTTCTGACAGTTTGTACCTTGTATATATGGACAGTATCCATATCACCCATTGCTAAGTTGTAGCTATGATAGAAGCGAAACATGGTGCTTGGTTATGGCTAAATGACCAAATTAAAAGAGATAATAGGGGGCAGATACAGAATGTGGACCAACTGATCTGAGTGTGTTTGTAATTATATTGTGGGAAGAGAAATTTAGCAGTGTAGCACTGTTCATTCAGAGCTAAACTGCTCTGGTTTAGCTTTCACTTATAAGGCAGAGATGGTCTCACCTGGGACCCCACGCCAGATCTGGACTCCTTGTGGGCTGGATCTAGCCCAGAACATGTGGCTCTGGCCACAGCCACTGCAGCAGTCACCATGGTGGCCACCATGGCCACGGCATTCACTGCAGCAGCAGTGGGGCAGGCAGCTACAGGCCAGGCAACTGCTTGCTCTGGCAAAGGCACACAAGTGGCAGAATGCCAGGCGGCCACAGGGGAACCAAGGGCTGTCTTGCAGTCCTGTTCTCTCATCTGGCACCGAGGCCCATGTCCACCAGGGCCACAGGTTTTGCTGTAGGCCCTGTCGTGCCCACCACTAGCCATGCCCCCAGTCTCCAATAGCCCAGCAGGCTGCATGGCGTAGCTCCATGGGCTGGAGCCATAAATTTGACGTGCCTGCCATAAGGTAAATTCAGGTGTATGAGTACTTACCATGCCAGCTGTTCCACAGTAAGTCCACGCCCCTTATTAAGTCACTTTAATGTGATTGTTTATCAGTAACCGTTTCTGTTCAGCGGCACACAGCAGTATTACACAGTAGTTTAGAAGAGAAAGTGAAGAGTCCTGCAATTCTGAGTCCGCAGGGGAAGTGAGGTAGGTACTATGCAACTCCCTAGGCCAGACTTTGTCTATAGGCTTAACCAATCTCATCTTAAAGCAAGTGCTCTGGGGGTGGGTAACTGTAAGGTTATCTGCAGTACAGCATCCCACAAGCACCTTCCCTTAAAGCAGCTTGTGGACATAGCTGTTTCAGAAGAGCCCCAGTACTGCTTCCTGTTGTACATGCAGGAGTATGCAGAGGTTCTTGAGCTGTGAAAGGCTGGTGCAAAAAATCAGAGCCGGGTTAAGAGAAGAGAATTTGCAGCAGAGTTGGGAGTGTGTGTTTGCACATAAATCTCAGTTAAAAACTGATCTACAGTTTTAAAAAAGCAGGAAGAAGAGCGATGGAGCACACTAGCTAAACATCAGCCTGACCGCCCCTATTTGGCTGAGTCCTAACTTGGAGTCAGGCAGCTCCAGGATATTGAGAATACTCAGACTCCTTAGTGACTTAGGCCTTTGTACTTTATGCTGATTGATTTGGCATTTAAAGACTTGCTGTGGCTGTTTTAGGATGGAATATTTGCTCAGGTTCTTTTCTGCATCACCCTTTTTGATGCAGGTTTCAGAAAGCAACCCTCCATGCTTTTAAGTAAAGAGGAATTTTGTTTTACTTTAAAATTTTACTTCTTTTCTCTTGCAGGAAAAGATCACTGCCCTTATTCAATGCTATTAATGACTGAGCTTGAAAGCATCTTTTTGTTGAACATACATTCGGTTCTGATATATTTTCTTCATCCTTCTGCCTCAGCTCTACTCCGAGATGCAGGGCTTGTCATACAAAGAGTTTTACATAGGCTGAACACTTGCCACACATAACAAGGACACTTTGCATGAACAAGGGAAAGTATTTCCCTTCCAGATATATTCTGTCCCGCAGGATCATGTAACGGGACAAAGATAGGTCTTGTTAAAGCACAAGATTGTGGGGGACAAGATTTGTGTGGCACTGCAGGCAAGCTAACTGGTCCCTCTAAATATTAATGCTAGTTAGTACCTCTAAGTAACAGTGCTAATTAGGCCGAGGAACATTTTTTTCCTGGGTGCCAAAGGAACAAAGTACTCTACCCTGAAATGATTTCCTAAGAGGTATTCTCTCTTTGCATAGTTATTCGAAGTACCGTATTGTGCCCTCACCATGTTTCTCAGCTCAGACCAGAAGGAGAGAGATTCTGCAACGGCATACCGTGAGTTTGACCTGGGCTTGTTTGGAATTTGGGTGCTTGAGTTTTATTTAAAATTACTCTTTCTGGAAGGAGGAGGGAGCCTTTTTTGTGGCCTAATATTGCATTTCTAGATAAAGAATCAGTAACTTCTGGTGGAAAAATGGAGCGTTGTGGGAGTTCTTTTTGCATCATACATATTTCTGTCTCTTTGTACAGACAGACATGACTATTTTGTCACTGCTAGTCTATCTGATTAGCTACAGACTTCCCTTCCAGTTCACAAGTTAGCTGCAAGAAACAGTAAAAAACTTTTATTTAAGAGTTGATTATGGATTTCTAGTGGTTGCCAGGGGAGCAGTGGTTTCTATTTATAGGTGAATTGCAGAGGTGGGAAAAAAGACTTTGATATTCTTTCATATGATATTGAAAAAGGTCTAAAAGTCATTTTTAAGCACTTTTCCTGTTTTTGCTTTTTCTGCAATTAGGAATTAAGGTCTTTTCTAACCCATTTTTTCCCTCCTGAAAGACAGGGTAAGCATCACAGAAGCAACCTGATTGAAAAGAGAAGGATTTTTTTTTTTATCCTGGAGCATCTGAAAACTCTCTTGTCTTCTGTTTTGTGTTTGTTTATGCGAGACGTGTCAGTCACCCTGGGCTGGATGTGGACCATTGGGTTCCCCCTGGGCCATGTTACCAGGGCTAGCAGGGGTCTGCCAGCAGATATCTGGGGGTAGCTGGGCCAAGCAATGGTGGCCAAAATCCAGCAGTGGCAAAGCCAAGTGGCCACAAGTCAAGTGGGAATGGATCAGCACAGCTCTTGCTCATCCTTCTGCTGCCAGTGGCCATTACCAGCAGGGCCCAGGGCCCTGAATCCTGTCGCAGGCCCTTCCTCTCCCTGACCATATGCCCCTCCACCCCCTGCAGCTTCCACTGGCTGCATCTAGCCCATAGGCTTGTATCCTTGACACCCCTAGTTTATACCTCCTTAATTCCCTATGTCTGTGAAATGGCTGGGAGGAAAGATTCCACTGTTAAATGGTCAGCGTCCTCTCTGTATCAGTCAAAGATTGAGAGTTTCCTCGAATCTAATAACTCTACTTAGAATCGTAGAAAATGAGGATTGGAAGGGACCTCAGGAGGTCACATCTAGTCCAACTCCTTGCTCAAAGCAGGACCAGCCCTAACTATATTATCCCAGCCAAGGCTTTGTCTGGTTGGGTCTTAAAAATCTCTGAGGATGGAGACTCAACAACCTCTCTGGATAACCTGTTCCACTGTTTCACTACCGTCCTCATGAGAGAGTTTTTTCCTAATATCTAACCTAAATTTCCCTTGCTGCAACTTGGCACCATTGCTGCTTTTTTTGTCATCAGCCACCACTAAGAACAATCTAACTCCATCCTCTTTCAAACTCCCTTCAGGTAGTTGAAGGCTGTTAGTAAATTCCCCCTTCAGTCTTCTCTTCTCCAGACTAAATAAGTAAGTCCAGGTCCCTCACCCTCTGCTCTAAGTCATGTCCCCCAGTCCTTTAACCATTTTTGTTGCCCTCCGCTGAGACTTTCTGCAGTTTGTCCACAGCCTTTCTGTAGTGGGGGGCCCAAAACTGGTCACAGGACGCCAGATATGGTCTCACTGGTGCCGAATAGAGGGCAAGAATTACTTCCCTCAGTTTGCTGGCAACACTCCTACTAATGCAGTGCAATGTGCTGTTAGCCTTCCTTGCAACAAAAGCATACTGCTGGTGTGTTCAGCTTCTTGTCTACAGTAAGTGCCAGGTCCTTTTCTGCAGAGCTGCTGTTTAGCCAGTCAGTCCCCAGTCTGTAGCAATGCATGGGATTCTTCCATCCTAAATGAAGGACTCTGCACTTGTCCTTATTATATCTCAGGAGATTTCTTTTGGTCCAGTCCTCCAATTCATTTAGATCTCTCTGAATTCTAGCCCTCTCCTCCTGCATATCTACTACTCCAACAGCTTAGCATCATCCACAAACTCCTCCATCCCATCTTTCAGATCATTGATGAAGATACTGAAGAAAACTGACCTCAGGACCTACTGCTGGGGCACTCCACTTGATACTGGCTGCCAACTAGACATCAAGCGACTGATTACTTCCCTCTGAGCCCAACAACCCAGCCTTTCTATCCACCTTACAGCCCATTCATCCAACCCATACTTTCTTAGTTTGCTTGCAAGAATGATGTGGAAGACCAAAACCCTTGCTAAAGTCAAGGTACGCTTCATTGACTGCTCTCCCTGCCTCCACAGAGCCAGTCATCTCATCATAAAAGACAGTCAGGTTGGTCAGGCATGACTTGCCCTTGGGGA